ATATGCAACTCTTTTTGAAGACTGTGTCTTAGCTTTCAAACAGATGTTTTAGGGGGCTGGAGGGTAAGTAGGTTTTGTCCTCAACCTTACTTAGCATGGGAATTCATACTTGCAGATGTTAGGCTCTTTAAGTAAGAAATTGTTATATGTATTAAACTAGGAATTTAAAGGTAATCCTTTAAAGCTACATTATACATTTTTAGTTTAACACACATAAATTCATGCCAGAACCATACTACAGTCTTTACCAAATCATTAAGTGTAAATTGCTATATACCCATACATTTGTATTCATGGGAAATAATTCTATTATGTTTTTTTCACAGTGTGTGCTTAGTTCTTCTTGAACAATCATTTCATCTTGCTTACTAAAATAACTCCTTAAAGTACATAAGAAGAGAGGTGCTGATCATGATTAAGTCTTCTAATAGTTACCGTTACTATTTCTATTGAATTCATGCTTAAGCTTCATCATTTACTAGCTGTGTGACCTCAGGCCAATTTATTAACTTTTCTTTGCTGTTTCTGCCAAATGGACATACAACACCTGCCCCATGGAGTAGTTATAAGGATTAAATCATCGAACATTACATGAGCAGATATAAGGACATATCTAGAAAAATAAAAATTGTAATGATGATGATGATGAAAATGTTAATACTAGTTTAACATTTGAGCGTTTCCTACATGTCTGGCACTATCTTAAACACTGCTCTAAATAAGGTAAATATTAACTTATTTAAACCTTATAACAACCCTAAAGGTCAGTCCCCATTTTTGATATTCCTATTTACGTAATAGTAACCTCTGAAATTTTGTTCCTGCCTGGGTACACCTTCCCTGGACTTTTTTGCTATCAATTTCTGTAACTAACCTTTTATTTCTTTTTGCTTTTATAACAAAGCAAACTCATTTTTCAAGCCAGCTATGTACGCATTTTGGGGAATCTCAAATTCAAATGGTATATTAGGATTTTCCAGAGAAGCAGAACCCTATATGGGGTTATATATAGAGAGAGGAGGGTGAAGAGGAGAGAAAGAGAGAGAGAGAGAGAGAGAGAAACTGGCTCACATGATAGTGAGGGCAGGCTGGCAGGCTGGAGACCAAGGTAAGAGTTGTAAAATTCAGGCAAGAGTTGAAATTTCAGCCTTGAGTACAAATTCCTCAGGCCAGCAAGCTGGAAACTCAAGCAGGGTTTCTATAATGTGGTCTTGAGACCACATTCCTTCTTCTGGAAATCTCAGTCTTTACTTTTGAGGCTTTCAATTGATTAGATGAGGCCCACACACATTATGGAGAGTAACCTCCTTTACTCAAAGTCTACTGCTGTAAATAAGAGTCACGTCTAAAAAGTGCCTTCACAGCAACACCTAGACGGGTGTTTGACTAAACACTGGGCACCACAGCTTAATCAAGCTGACACATAAAACTAAGCATCACAAACGTTTCTGTTTAAGTCAGGCCTCTATATGTTTAGTCTAATTTCTAAGTCAGCAAACGTATACTCAATACCTTTCTGTGCTAGACATTGAGAAGTGCACTTCTATACTTATTATTTCCCTTTCATTCTGACGGCTCTTTCAACTCAGACCTTTGAAACCACCCAAGTCATGCATCTATGAATAGCACTTAATAGGTCTTCTAAAACCACTTATGGGCTTAAAAAAGTCCCATAAAATTTATAGAATAGTCAGGCACTTTATCAACTACTTTACACATGAGGGTATAACTGAGACCTAGAAAGTCTAAAGATTTATATGAGGTAATACAGTGTATCAGCAAGTAAAGAAGGAGCCAGTGGTCCTCTGGACACTGTAGCCGACGACTCTTTCCAGTACCCCGTCTCATTTTCCCCCTGCAAAAGAAGTGTTCTTCCATTGGTTCTTATTAAAATTCTATCATTGGAGATGCAGAAAATTCCACAGTACACCTTGCAGCATTTTTTAGAGTTTATAAGAGGGAGGATTATTTTACGCTTACAGCATGTATCTGGCTAGATGAATAGATACATTTTATAGATGATACTATTTTCAGGTGATAAAGAAGTGGAGTACACATTCCATTTATATAAATGCCGGCATTTCTATGCAATTAAACAAGGTAGCCCAAATAAAGTGCCTCTTGTGCAGAGCTCAGGAACTGTTCTCGAGGATCCTAACTTGGGAAAACAAACCAAAGAGCTCTGGTTTCTCCTAAACTTGTCCATCTCCTAAGCTGGTTTCAACAACACAGCAAGTAAGTGTTGAGATGTCTAAGTAAACTACATGTAATATTAACGCATGGAAAAGCACAGTATCCATACTCCAGGATATACCTGGTGAGTGGGAAAAAGGCTTTAATGCACAGCTGTGCTTTGCTTACTTCGTAGACATTATGGGATGAACAAAGATTGTTGTTTTCTAATCTTAAAACTTTTTCTGGCCTCTACTGATTTGCCAGTATACCAAACAAAAAATAATTTGCTAAATTGTAGATTATAAAAAATAAACTTTATTGCATGTAAGAAAAAAGTAGCTAGTCCACTGTGTGATCAGCCAACATCGAAAGGAAGTGGAAATCCACGTGATTTGTTTGGGATAAACAGATGAGAGCATTGAGAAAGAGATTTTGGATTCTGAGGCACTCATGTGTTCCAGTAAGAGTCATGAAATCTGCAAAGAGGCCGAGGAAGCCACCCCTGCTTATGTTGAGGAATTTGAAAGACATGCTCAGAAGGACATAATTCTTCTCCATTACAACAGATAAGCATTAAAACCATATCAAGAAATGTAAGACAGTCTCTCTTTTTAAAGTGGAACGTCAGGCGCATTGTCCACTGATTTTGCTCGCTGGCACAGCCTTCCTAGAACACATGATTCATGACTTCATTTAGCCTTTTCTTGTATTTTTCATACACATTTTACCAGGCAAATTTACATTCCTTGTCAACATCTATGTTGGTTCTTGCACAATTTAGTTTTACTTTGTCTAGTTTTACATTAGAACACTCATTTCTAGCATATTATAAAGTATCTATGAGTATAATAAAATGTGAAACCAGCATAAACTTACCGGGTGCCTCAGAGGTAACTGTTCTGATTTTTGTAACGTGGTATTATGTGCTGTGATGCCCTAATGAGAGGAAACAGGTTTCTTCTGTGTAGTCACGTTATCTATCTGAAATAAAAATGTAAGAATTCCACATGTCTAGCTCCAGGTGTGTGTGTGTGTGTGTGTGTGTGTGTGTGTGTGTGTGTGTGTGAGAGAGAGAGAG